GGCGAGTGCGGGTAGGGTCAAATTGTAAGCCTTCAGAAAAATATGACGTTCAATTTGGCTGGAAAAGAGAATGGTTAATGATTTGTTATAAATTGGCATTGAACGAGGTTTAATAGGCGTATGGATGGGGTTGGAAAAGTCGGTGGGGGTGCGAGTGCATAAACACTCGTGAGCTGATAACATATTGTTACGAAAACCCCGAAAAATTCCGTAACTCCCGCGTTTTAGGCCATTTAGATGGAAAAATTGGAAGTGTCCTATAACTGTGACGTGCCGTCCAATAACTGTGTTTCTCGACCTCTGACTTTGAACCGACCGACAGGGCGTAAGGCGTTGAATTCTTAGGCCACCTGCAGTAGTAAAGTTTAGTTCGAACCTTCAGCTAGCCCATGAGCCCATAGGTACGTCTCATCTTCAATTGAGAGACGCACAGCGCTGCGTCAAACGAAAGTGCGTCCTTAACCGTCCCATAACTGTATCACCTACCCTACAGGTCTCTAAAGTGTCCGCGGGTCAAACGGGCACTTTGCTCGTGTTGCCTACATTACTCCACAAGATCTGCGGCGTGAGACGCATTTTCAAAAATTCAACCGCTTTCAGAGGGTGGGGTGAACTTGGAGTAGGGGGTGGTTTCTCGAAGGTGTTGATCGTGCCTAAAATGTTCGAATGGGGTCCAAGAGCAGACGTACACTAAATTTGAACAACTTTCAACACCCTCTTCGACCCGAACGTTTCACGTTTGGTACGACTTTTCCAGCCCCTTGCGCGTTAGGGGTTGCGTATGGCGTACGGGCACAAACGCTTTCAGTGAGTGATAACTACACACTCAAGACGTGAACATGCCAAATTTCACGCATTTCACGTTCCTAGTTTCATCGCAAGTTATTTTAATCTCAGAGCAAATAATGGACCGCTAAATGTTTTGACGAGTGTAGTTTAAACTAGCGTGCCCGCTAATTCGTCGAACGAAGTTGCCAGCTTCGCTTTGGCCCGCCGGCAACTCCTATCGGCAGCGGCTGGGCCTATCAGGAGAGAGGTGACATCTGCTGGAGGCGCCACTGTGATGTGGTTGACCTGCTCGCTTTGGTGCCCCAGCGCATGCATCCGCCAGGCGCAGGCTGGTGGGGCGCTCTACTCTTCTACGCGCCCACAGCCCGGGGGCCGATCGGGGCCGCTCTCGGCCTTCCCTCCTAAATTCCCCTGCACGTGTTTCGGCAATTTCGTCATGAATATAGGGGGGAGGGGTCGGGGGCAGCTTTCACGTCCATGCATGCACCCGCTCAATTTTCCAGACCGACCGTGTGTCCCGATCGCTACTCACCCCGAAAACGGCGGCCGCCGATGCACAGACTCAACTGCGATCCTTCCTTGGGTGTCCTGGTGTAACGGGCCCAAAATAGGATTGTTTTCGGGACTTTTTTTCAAAGGAACCATTGCTCCGCGGTAAAAACCCAACACCCCCTTTATTGTGTACACTGATAAACCAAGTGTTCAACTGCTTAACACTTGTAAGTGTGCAACCACAAGTTCAATACTTGCAAGTGTTCAATTCAGTAGTAGTATACTTGCAAGTGTTAAACTCGGTATTTGTGCACTTGTAAGTGTTCAACTCTCCTGTCGTACACTTCTCTAGATCGGGCGCTTACTGTGGGGGAAGTGTTCAAGAGAGGAGCTGCACACCTTCAAGTGCACAAATACCGATTCGAACACTTGCAAGTGTGCTACTACTAAATTGCTCATTTGCAAGTATTGAACTTGCGGTTGCACACTTACAACTGTTGAGCAGTTGAACACTTGGTTTATCAGTGTACTACATTGTAAAAAGCTTACGAACTAAATACTTCGCAACGTTACGAACAAGTTTCGTCCTTTGTATTTCAAAGAAATTGTTCGTATTGCAAAGCGATTGTAAGGCTAGACAGGGTCTTACAAACAATCGGTTTGCATTGCGAACTATTTGTTCGTAAGCTTACGAACAATTTGTTCGTATTGCAACGCTTCAAAATCCTTCGTAACCTGCGAAGGTTTTGGTTTGCATTAGGAACCTTATGTTCGTAATCAATGTACATTGAAAGCATCGTTAGTTTACAATTATTTTACACTGCAGGTCGGCTTGTGGCCTACTAAGGAGGTTCCAGTAGGCGAAGTAGAGATAGTAACTTCACTCTAGTGGAAAACAATGTTTCTTCTCTTATCGATTTGTTCTTGGCCAATATTTTCATGTGTTTCTGTTTCAATAGACCCACTTGGTGTTTGCGTCGTGGGGCTCGAGAGGCGGTTGGAAAGAAAACGCCATGATGATGAAATTCAAGAAGTTGTGTACCACCATCAAGACACATCTGCCGACAATATGGGATGCAATTGTCGGTCGCATGACGAGCAACATCAGCGAATCATTACAAGATTGCCCCTTCCCACCAGTTAGTATGGTTTTGAAAACTTTACAATTCTCATAGAAAATGAAGTAAACATTTTCGTCTACCCACCAAAAACGTTTGTTTCTTGTTCGTTGGACTTCAGAAGCCACTCACTTTGCGTTAAAACACACTGCATTCAAATGTGCTTCAGTATCCAATAATCCGAAAACTTCGCTCTGTGACATCTGCTATTTATATTTTGTATCGACACTTGACCGTCGATTGCTGCTCACCTACGTAAAGTTGGTGGGACAAAAATTCGAGCCCAGTTTTTGCGACCTATTCCTACAGCTGTAAAAAAAGTTAACAATTCTTGTTAGCTGCAAAACGAACACACGGTTTAGGACATGTGGCCTTTGTGTATGCACCTTTTTGGGTGATATCTTTGTTTATCAGGGACCTTTAGTGTAAGGGGGCAGACTTGTGAAATGAAGAGTTTTGGAAAATGGTCAGTACAGAAAAACCACTCACCGCATCAATTTAAGACTAAAGATCATAAAAGTTCAAGGTCAACCACGTACGGCAGTACGGCATCTTTTAAGAGTAACTAGCAACTTTTTTGACAGTCGCAGACCCACCCGATACAGAATAATCCTTCACAGCGAAAAGGACTGCATCGTCTAGTTGGAGGCGCAGATGGGCTTGTTCCTGTGCGCACACCGGCGTCAACGGCAATATTAGCGTCCATTTATGCTTTCAATACACACCTTTAGTCCTAAATCGATGTACGGCGTGCAGTTTTTAAGTAGTGACGAAATTTTTTGGGGGTGGCCTGCGCGCGCGGGGAGCCGTCTACTCAGCGTGTTCATTGTTGAACTGTAACCCACACTGTTAAAGTCTTACGAAGAAAAATACCAAATCCTTTGTAATACGAAGGATTTGGACGCTTCGTAGGGAGCAAATCCTTCGTAGGTACGAAGCATTTGGCATTTTGCTTCGTAAGACTTTAACTGTGCAGATGCGGCCGAAAATGCAACAGGTGGTGTTAAACCATGTCGCTCCTCCCCCCTGTCTGGTAGAAACGGGCCCGTTGAAAAACTCCTTTAGACCCATCACACTAAAAGATCTGTGCGCCAATCCTTTCTAATGGAAAGGCTAATTTAAAAAGGTCACCACTTAGGGATCGTACACAAACCACGTGACGGGTTTTGGGGGAGGGTGGGGTAAGGTGATATAGAGATAGGTGGCCGCAAGCGGGCGAGAGTGGGGGAAGGCAGATCCTTCGCGCCACTCCGCCGATCGGTTTGAAACGTGCTGGGTGCACGCTGGACCAGGTATTAGCAGGTAGCAAGGGTCGGCTTTAGGCCGGGCGGCCGTGCTAGGGTCGAGCTTCGAGCCTCCGGAGGGGCGGTGCCGGGTCTTTCCTGGCTCCTTAATCCCTTTTAAGTACTCGGCGGCGTGCGCGCTGGCCTGACAGTGGTTGACATGGAGATGCGCAGTCGGTTCTGCGCATGTCAGATCCACCAATGAGAGCGCTTGCGCCGACCTATCTACATTACACCTTAGGGTGGGGGGGTCTGTGAAAACACCACTCACCACCACCAGCGGGGAGGGGGTGTTTCGGCCAAGTCAAGAGACTATTAATTACCTGCTCAAATAAGCAAGTTTTTGAAAAATTCTAACACAACTCCGTTTATTGCGTGATAAATCACTGAAATCTGACGGTGTTTAATCGAAAAGTCACCACTAAATTAAGTTTTGAATATCAGCAAACATGCACTTTTCGTGAAAATGTTCTATATCGTTGTAAATTCGTCAAATAACACATATGCCAAAAAACACGTGAAAATGGAGGGGGGGGGGGGCGAAACCAGCACAGACCACCACAGGGTGGGAGGAGGGTTGTCAAAACCCGCCAAAAACTCGTCACGTGGATTGTGTATACGATCTCTTCTTTCTTGCAGTGAAGCAGAATTAAATCTGAACACACTGGAGAATAGTACTAAACCTCTGCTGTGAAGCGGAGTAAGGGTATAAGTATAAAAACCATACTTTTCAGGAAACCAAAAAAACTCTTTGCACGTAACTCTACAATAGTGTTATGGTCGAGCTGGAATACACGTCCACCAAGGATATTACTCGCACTTTGAATTTTTTACACATCACGCCCAGCCCCGAAGTTATAGGACTTGTCCCCTTTGTTCGAGCACGTGGGAGAAGACAACTTAACTCCTTTCCACCGGTTTAGTATTAGGACTTAAGTTTTCTTAACTTTTTATGCAAAAGATGCAAAAGGGGTCAAGTTTACAATGGTTACTAGATAAGTATTTTTAGCCCGCTTTTCTGCTTTAAAAAAGCTATCCATCGGGCTTATGCAAACGACCTCGTGTTTGTCTGTCTGTCTGTTCCACTAGAAGGAGATGTGCTAGAGACTTGAAATTTTCAGTGTATCTTAAGATCCACTCCAAGAGAACGAAACGCGTACGACATATCCTGGCAACCACCCCTGAGTGTGTGAATAGGGGTATCCAATGTTAAAAGTTCTCCCGAAAAGTATATTTTATTACGTTCTCGTAGGGGGTAACTCGTCAAAGCAGAGGCCTTGGGCGAAAATTTCGTCCGTTTTGCTCTATCTCTAACCATTTAGGCGCTAGAGGGTCTGTTTTGGCGAAAATAAGCTAAAAATTGCCATAGTGAACGATAAGTTGTAGAAAAAGGCCTAAAAACCGCAAAAGGGGAACGAAACTCCCCCCAAAACATTTTGTTGTCTAAACTGGCGACCGGTTAGCAACTTCCACCCGGTAAAATACTTGTAAATGTGTGTGTCTTTGTTATGTTTAATGATTTTGTTAATCTGTCGCAGGGTGGATATTCGGTACGGAACGTGTCGAGCTCAGTATTACAGCCGAAAGGAGTACCAGTATTGTTTTACGGGAAGTGGAGAGTGGACGCCAAAGTTGTTGATCCAAAAGACGAAAGGATATTGGGCTGTTTTCGAGTGTTTGTAAGTATAATTCCAAAGATGGGGCAGCCTATTAATGGGTAGACCAGTAGCGAAAAAACTTAAGCATCGGTGACAATGTTCCACTTATTATGATTGAGAATACATAATTCGATTTGATACCTTTAGATTGGTCTCTTTGTTTTGAGCTGTTTACGTACTTACCCTCTCTCTCAATGGACCAAATGTTTTGGGGCATGTTAGGTAGATGTGCGTTAGACTATGTCTCGCATAACAGGCTTCGCGATATCTCACGAAACACTGGTAAGTTGCTACGCCTCTTAGCTTGGGCTAAAAAATAAAAAAAAAAAAAAAAAAAAAAAAAAAAAAAAATAAAAAAAAAAAAAAAGGAAATCTCGTCGGTGGTTTTTATGGGAGTATTCTCAATGCCGAGCACGATGGTCTTTGTCCGAACCCTCTCCGATGCCACTGCGCCTTGGCGTTAAAGATTTGGCCGCGGGCGGCCGTCAGGTCGGTGGTGACGTGCGGGTGGCCGCCGCTGCAGCAGCGCGCGGCGCAGGTGAGTCATATTTTCATCATATGTTCACTGAGGGTTACTCTTTAGAACGCCACCTGTCCGATCGCGATGCTACACGTCATTCGTCCGAGCGAGCGTGTTAAAGTCGACCGGGGGAGTTAGGCCCTATGTAAAACCTCGCGCGCATTTTCGATGTTTTTGCAACCTAGAATCCTAGCCTAGGCTCCTACACATCGGCCCTAATCCCGAGTTTCACTATTCGTCAACTTCGAGGGGGTCACCTTTAGTGAACATAGCCCGCCCGTGGCCAAATCTTTAACGCCCAGGCGCGGTGGGTCCCCGACATCAGAGAGGGTTCGGACAAAGGCCATCGTGCTCGGCATCGAAAATACTTCTAGAATAACCACCGATAAGCGGAATTCGAGCTGTGCACCTGGAATTTGGCCCAGGCTAACGCCTCTGACACACACATCTACGAAAGAGACTCAGAGGTAGAGAGCCGTCAACTCGACGACAGGTGTGTGTTGTGAACTCGCCGCAGAAAAGTCTCGTCCACGGCAGGTAGTTGTAAGCCCTCTGGAGCCCGCCCGGCTTCAACGGGCATTACCCCGACACTTGACACATTAACATCGAGTGGCCGAAAATGATTGCGTTCAGAGTAAATGAATGTTTGTTATAGTTAGAAAAAGAAACATAAACTGTTTTCTTGTTGCTTGGTTATGGCAGACAATAAATAAGAGAGGCCCCAGGATGGAGCCTTGGGGAACCCCAATGTCTATCTAAAGCATCTGTTCATTATGCATTAAACTTTGGAATGGAACTACATGTATTACGCTTAATTTATTATTCCTGATACCCCATCTTGATTCGTAAAGGAAAAGGCACACATTAAACGGAAGTCATTTATTAATGCTTGATTGTAGGGTAACAAGCAGGCCCGCCCTTCCGCCAAACGGAGTTGCCAGCTCCGCTTCGCTGTGCCGGCAACTCCGTTCGGCAGGGGCCGGGCCTGCTTGGCCTGCCGGCGGCAACGCTCGGGCCTGCGGCCCGACCGTTTTTGCTAAATTTGCTGAAAAAATTATCAAATAATATAGCGGGCCTCCGGCCCTCTAAAAGCCGTCGTCATTAAAATTTGCCCCTTAGACGCATGAGAAAGGAATGTTACGGTGACGCACCGTGACTACAACCCACCCTTCTGCTTAGAAAAAACTTCTTTTTTAAGGGGGGGGGGGCCTTCCTGTACAACTAAATGTTAACTACAGCAATTTTTAGCTTATTTTCGTCAAAAAAGACCCTCCAGCGCCCAAACGGTGAGAGATAGAGCCAAACGGACAAAATTTTAGCCCGAAGGGTTCTACTTTCACGAGTTACCCCTTAGGTTATCATAAAAAAAATATGTTTTTCTTAACTTTTTTGACCTACCCTCTTTTCTTTGATACCCCGTTTCAGCCCCTTAGGGTTGGTTGCGAGGATTTGCCGTAGGCGTTTCGTTTTCTAGGAGTGAACCTTAAGATACCCTGAAAATTTGAAGTCTCTAGCACATGTCCTTCTGGTGGAACAGACAGACAGACAGACAAACACGAGGTCGTTTGCATAAGCCCGCTGGATAGCTTTTTCAAAGCAGAAGGGCGGGCTAAAAACTACATATTACAATGGTTTACAAAATGCAACAAAATTCATTAAAATAAAATAAAAGTTTATAACACTTTTTCACTAAGAATTAAAGGTGGATTTAGTCGTATGTAGACTGAGGATAAAGATCCGGGAGTAGTCAACTGTTGAGATGCATAAAGTTCGGTGCTTATTCAAAGCCGTTGACTATTGTTGAATCTTCCTTCATCGCCAGTCTTCACAAGAGTAAATCCGTCTAAACTAAAACAGCATCTCATGCGTGCACCTGATAAAGTGACTTGAAACAGCAGTAAATTTGAAATGACTAAACATTAACTAAATTAGTCTGAGACTAACTCAATTACAAAATTTACAAATACAGGGGGTGCCACTTCCTAAAACCCTTGCGGCACTTGCAGCACTTAAAAGTTTTGCTATCCTTTCTTCAGTGCCTCCAAGCACGAGAGGCAGAAGCAATGACGGCAGGGCAGCATTTGGGTCACTGTCCTGTTCATGCAGATAGATCAGACCCCGTCTACGTCAGCGGCTGCTGCTGGGCCTGGCTGAGGATCTTCTGGTCCTGGTGCTGGTGCAACAACTCGGGCCGGATTCACAGCTGCTCCAGCAGAGGAAATTTGCTAAAGATTTCGATGGAAGCACCCTTTACTTTGTCTTTTCAACTGTTGATATGACTTCCAAGTGAAGATAATTTCAGAGAGAAACAGACATATTTATCTCTAATACATATCTCATTAAGAGTTGAGAAACGCATGTTTTAACGAGAAACAATACCGTCCTTTAAAAATGTACACTGAATAGGGAAGAGGATTTTCACTTCTTCCATTTAATGTTACTGTATATAGAACAGGCTGCTTAAAGGTAACACAGTACAGATCAAATTCCTTCGACAGTTCTGCCTCATGTTTCTTCACAAATGCTGTGCAGTTTTCACCATCAACAACAATGGCTTCAGCGTGAATGATGTTGTCTTCTGGATTGCCAAGTAGAAGCCAATGGCCCACCTTGTACATGACTTTACTGACACTTTCTTCACAGTAGCAGCTTCAGGGGTGAAGTTGGGAGTCAAAATGAACTCTTTCAAATCAACATTTTCATCATCAAGAGAAACAATTGAAGATTCAAAATATGTTGGCTCATCAGGAAACAGAGGTTCCATATTTTGGTAGACTAGAAGATACTGAAACTTACTGGAGAGTGTAAAACCTTGATTGACAAAATTTCGGCATATCCTTGTAACTCTCTTTCTCTTGAAAAACTGGTGACGGTGCTCAAACTGAAGGGTCCACTAATGAATAAGGGGACCAAACATAAGATATAAATCTGCATAGTGGGAAAAATAATGATGCTCGCGATTTCCTTGTAATGTGCTGCTTGAGCAGGCTCTTCAACGCCTCACGCTCACGAACTAGCAGCAACTTGTAGGTTTGGTGAAGGGCGGGATGGTAGACGATTATGCCCCCTGCCTTCACGAACACCGAGAACGGCTTGCGCAACCTCCCGGAATTCTTGGGCGGAGCGAGGCAACGGCAGGGCTTGAACTTGTTGGTCAGCTTCTTCCTTTTCTGCAATGTAAAAAATCAGTCTTGGATACGGAGCCTGTCACGGCGTTCCGTACCTCACTTTTCGGAGTGATTTTCGAAAGTGGTTCGGAGATTTGCCGTACATGGCCACCGTACCAACGATTTTTACATGGGCTAGCATAGGGAAGGGGGTACGGAACGCCGTAACAGACTCCGTCCGTACTCAAGACGAAGACCTTGGGATGAAAATTAGCAGGACTTTTTCCGAACTTTTCCGTACCCTGGCTCCGTATCCACGTTTTTTTTTTTGTTTTTTTTTTTTACATGGGCTCTTATGGGAAGAGGGTACGAAACCCAAGGTACGGAGACGCCGTAGGTTAAGTAAACGGCATATTTGCGTATGGGCGACCGCTTGATTATAATTTACAGTTTGCATATACTTCTCTATTGAGGATCTGAGCATAACGGTTTCTCGCAATACCTTTCACTTTCCTTTCGCCACTAGTTTCGGGACAACAATGTTATTGTTTTTGCCCACAGTGGTCCGCGGAGTATAAATGATGTTCCTCACGCAACCCCAGAAATCAAAATATTAATCGGAATACCTTTCACTTGCCTTTCACCAGCAATTTGACATCCAAAATGGTTCATGTTGTTTGCCATGCTAAACTAGGTAGATGTACGCCAGACCACGTCTCGCGTAATAGGCTTCGCGATATCTCACGAAACACTGTTACGCTGCGACGTGACTGGCATACATCTACCTAGGCCTGCGGCGCTGACACCCGAGTCGGGCCAAAGTCGTGAGTAGGCATTCGGCCCCAAAAGTCACAAATCTTGTTCCTCGGGGTTATATTTTAACGAGTTACCCTACCGGAGACTAACAAATATCTGAGAAAAAACATAGAAATGTTTTGCGGTCGTTTTCGTGTAGAAAACTCCCTCTGGTCCCTAAACGGTTAAAGATTGAGCCAAATGGAATACCTTTCACTTGCCTTTCACCAGCAATTTGACATCCAAAATGGTTCATGTTGTTTGCCATGCTAGCTAAACCACGTACTATGAATGGTTTTGCTGGTCACTTTTAACAGTATAGCGGTTACAGCAATACCTTTCACTTCCCTTTCACTACCAGTCTCAGGCCAAAAAATGTTTCTGCTGTATACGTCAGTGGTCCACGGAATATACATGATGTTCCTGGTGAACCACTAGTAAGAAAAAGATAATTTGCTCGTGAATGGGAAGTGAAAGGTATATATCAATGAGCTTCCTATTCCTCAAAATCACCGGGAATATTATTCATAGTCTGTGAAAAATATCCATCTCTTCCTCATCCCGACATAGAAAAAAGTCATGTAAGTGAACTGAATTGAACTTTAAGGCACCAGTGAATTTAAAGACATTCCTAATATTTCTTACTTTTGTACAGAATGACCTAAAGCATGCTATACAGCACTCTTTTAGCTCAAAGAGGAGCTATCAAAATAATATCAAGCCA